GACTCTTCATTAGGGACTGTAGTGATAGGACAAGGGGTAATGGGTTAAAACTTAAACAGGGGAAGTTTAGGTTGGATATAAGAAGGAAATTCTTTCCTGTTAGGGTGGTGAGGCACTGGAATGGGTTGCCCAGGGAGGCTGTGAATACTCCATCCCTGGCAGTGTTCAAGGCCAGGTTGGACGAGGCCTTGGGTGATATGATTTAGCGTAAGGTGTCCCTGCCCACGGCAGGGGGGTTGGAACTAGATGATCTTAAGGTCCTTTCCAACCCTAACGATTCTGTAATTCTATGATTCTAAATCCGTCTCTCAGAGATATATGTTCCACTCTGCCAGAGATACGTCTACTTGGGATGCATTACTCACCTTCTCAGATACCAATATTAATCCAATTTTCTTTTAGCATGATGGGATTTGGACACAATTTCTATTATCAGTAGTGGAGATATTATGCCAGCATACCACCACAGGGATATCAGATTGTGTCTGATTCATGGAAATGAATAGCTGTTTTATGAGAGACTTGTGTGTGAGCAGGAATATGTGTATTGAGCTCCATTCTCCAAAGTGTTGGGCAAAGGCCTGAAGATGTGCTTAAGCTCTTGGTGATTCATGGCCAGAGTTTTTGTGTTTTACATGGTTGAACCAAAGTTCCTTTCTTTTTTCAGTCACTGAAGTTAACAGAAGGATTCATGGATGGGTATTGCAGTGTAAATTAGAAGAAATAAGATGGTTGCAAAGAAAGAGGAAAGACAACTCTCACTGCATCAGATAGGAAGGATGCAATGCCTTCCTGAATTTGTCCTCTTCATCACTGCCTCTGCCACATTCTGCCTCATTTTCCTTTAGATGGTTAAAGAGCTCAGCAATAGGCAGTTCTTCAATATGCAGAGCTACCAGAGAGTCCTCTCTTCTTAAATGTGAAAGTGGCTTAGCAAATATAGAATCATAGCATCATAGAATAGTTAGGGTTGGAAAGGACCTTAGGATCATCTAGTTCCAACCCCCCTGCCATGGGCAGGGACACCTCACACTAAACCATGCCACCCAAGGATCTGTCCAAGCTGGCCTTGAACACCACCAGGGATGGAGCATTCACAACCTCCCTGGGCAAATTCACAACCTACCTACTCTAAGGACAGCTTATGGTGTATATTTGAGTGAAGGAATTTTTGTTTTAAAAAAAAATAGTCCTTGGTTTAATGGGTAATTTCCCTTGAAAATGGTAAACTGCAAATTAAATGGCAAAAAGCAATTAATTATTGAAATGATAATATCCTTATAAAGGTTAAGAGGTAATATAAATGAAGTTCCTGTGAGCACATTAATGGAATTACTATCTTCCCCCTTATAAGTGGCAACTGTAACGACCTTGCTAATTAGCTATTTCAGCAGGAAATATTGAAATATGTAGTTATATTGCAGAAGCACAATCTATGACTAGGTTATTTTGCTACTACATAATACAGAGAGAACCCTTCTACATGCAGTGAAGAGCTCTTCCCAGAGCATGCAGCTTTTGGTGGAAACAAGAAACTATGCATTTGAATGACATAGGAAGAACAACTTCTAATTTGAAGGATAACATGAGTCAAAGCAAAAGATTTAACACAGACACACAGTCCAAGATACACCTCGCTTCAGCTCACTGCAGCCTCCCTGGGAGCACAAGGCATGGCCAGAACATGATTTGACCCACTGTGGCTGAATAGGAACCTGTTGCTCCCCAGGCACAGGTAGACTGGGCTCTACAACCCAGTCTGGGTCTCAGGTACTCCCTGTGCAATATCTGTAATATATGGAGGTATATTTTTATAATACAAAAATGCATAGCCATGTAGGTATATGAATACTATATATACTGGATTTTCTATTGACAAGTCTTTTAGAAAGCTTTAAAAAATGAGCTTAGCTCTTCCCCCACTGAGAACATGTTTTGGACATTGATACATGGCAAAGTGGGCACTGTTTGCATTTCAGCTGACAAGAGATGGCATTCCAATTTTCCTGTGAAAGAACCTGTGGGAGATGACAGGGTTCACCCTGCATGGAACCACCTGAGAGCTGTACAAACCTCAGAGGTATGATGGGGAGTAAATGAGCTTCCACTTGTAGAACAAATTGGCCTTTGTCCCCAACAAAAGGATTTTCATCTTCCCTTTCTAAAAACCCCAGAAATCATTAGCGTCATCCTTGGGAATGTGATCTAATATAGTGACCTAGATGCAAATGATTGCTAGAGCTCAAGGGGCGAAGCAGCTCAGCTCCAGTTCTGTGGCAAAAGGCTGGGGGGAGGAACATGGCCCTGCCTTCCATCCCCATCTCAGATACACATGGTTTATGCAAACTGTGACACTAAAGCCACTGTTGCAGGTTGTGCAAATGCACCTCAGGAAACTCAAGATAATGGCACAGGGCTATTAGAAATCATTCAAACTTTGTGTAAAACAGAAACAAGCTCTGCTCTCTGCCCCTACTTTTCATGTGCACGCCTTTGTCTGCAGCCTGCACCAAATGCTTCAGCAGGAAGAAAGACCAAATCCCCTGCTATTTCCACAGAGCCCAGGAGGTGTGAAGCCTCCCTGTGCTTGCAGGCTGGCCTGTCCCCTTTTCCACCACTTCTCCATGCCCTCCCTGTCCTGGACACCCAGCGAGTGCCACTTTAGCAGCACCAAGCGCCACTACAGCCTCTACTGCACTGGGCACGCTATGGGGCTAACTTGAGGAGCAGCCCGCTTCTGGCCCTGGTTTTAAAGCTGATCCCTAACTGAGGCTTTAAGTTAAAAAGAAAAATCTTCTGGTTGCATGCGTCCTTAAAAAATCTTTTTTTCTGTGAACACACATGCCATGAAATGCAAGAAAACACTGTGGCAATACCTGCTTGCGGCACATTCCCCACATCTTTATTTAATAGTGTCAAGGGAAAACAGACAGATGTTCCTCTGGTAAATAAGATGCCACAATTAAATTATTTGTATTGGTTCTATATGCAGAGAAAACATGCTGTCAGTTTCTTACCAGGAAATTACTCATTCATCATCCAGACATTCATTATTTTTCAAAGTCCACTTGGGGACAGTGGAAATTTAGGATTGAAATCATCTGCATTTTTCCTGAGTTTGTGCAGGACTAAGCCAATTCCCTGTTGAAGGAGGATGAGTCTGGGACCTGTCATCCCAGAGCTGTCACCTTGGCAGTGTCTGCGAGAGCAGAGCAGGCATTCCTTCCTTCAGCTGTGAGGCTGGTGCAGAATAAACCTCTCTGGCCTCTCCCACAGCCACCAGGCTTGTCAGCAGAAGGGCACAAAAGAAATAATCAGTAGCTTGATTTGCTGTAGCTACTATTTTAGAGCCTTGTAAAATGCAGATCACCTGGTGGCTTTTATATAATAGATAATAAGTAATAATTTTCTAAAGCTGAAACAACATAAGGAGGGTTTATGGCAAATAATAAAGAATGTTTCCTTTTTCTTATGTTACACTGACAAGTTGTTTGTATGTGCATGTGTGTTGGTTAACAGACTGATGTTAACAACAGCGTTACATCCAGTAAGACAGCTGTCCTCCAGAAATGTGTTCTGTTCATATACTGTCAGTAAGATGATTTATAAAAATTGTCACCACAAAAATAAGCACTAATCATAATGCATTTTTGGAATGGAAGTGGAGAGAGGATTTTTTGCTCAGAGCTAAGTTTTTAGGTCAGGATTCAGGTTTCGATGTCAGCCCCAGTTCTTGGGAGTCTATTTCCTTCCACAGTAGAAAACATGCAATGTGTTTGACATGGAAAAGACACTACATGGATGTGCTGACTTGAATTTGTGTTCTTACCTTCCTCAGAGAAATTTGCAGGTGTTAGACTTGCAGTTCTCTTTTTCTGCCTATTTAGTTGATTTTGTTTTTTCCCAGCTGCTGGGATTGGACGTATTTCAGGCAAATATATTAATTATCAGATGATTTTCCTAGCAATACTTGTCTGTTTGGTTTTTAGTGACTGTATTTGAATAATTGGGTTGACTTTCTGCTGCTCCCAGTATGTAGCCTCAAGTCTATTGTTGTGCCTACACCTTTCTTTTTCATTTGAAATCAAGTACAGACATGACCTGAAGATCCAGTTTTGTAAGATGCTCGGAACCATGTCTGCATGATCACTCTCCTGCAGACCACACAAGAGAAAACCAGGTGGTGGTCTGCAAGATAAAAACGTCTTGTTTCTTTTTATTGTCAAAGACTGAAGAATAAGATGGAGGTTTGGTAACTGCTTCATTTTCCTCATAGTTTGGGAACATACATATTTCCCTATGGCATTTTATAGACAGTGGATTGTCTTACAGGATATGCTGTGATGAAAGAGCCTGTGGCCGAGCCTGTGATGTGTATTGTTCCCTGTGATGTGAGGATTGAGTTAGGTCCAGTGACAGGATTTTCTGCCTTTATTCTGCTGCTCTGATTAGCTCCATCAAGTCTGTAGGGCCCCAGCTGTAACAGCAGCTTAGTCAATGGGTTAGGGAGAAGAGAAATGGCAAAATCTATAGGCATATTTCCCCGTATCCCTGCCAGGGTAGTTTTCTTGACAGTGTATTCATGGGTGTTTGATCCACTCTGACTTCCAGTGGCTCCAGCAGTGGGGAATCTGGGACTCAGGTTCCCTTGACCAACTCTGAAGCATATTCTCTTAAATTTCAAAACACTAAAACCAGTTTTTAAACCAGCTGCTATTTCAGTATAGAGAAGACCCTGGGGACCGTGACTTTTATCGCTCTGCTCTGAGGAGGTCTATCTGCTTTCGTGGTTACAAAAGAGACTGTGGATCCTGAAGCACCACATGATAACTCCCGTTTTCTTTCAGACAGGCTAGATGTGATTGAAATATTTCTGCTAACTTTCCCAGCAGAAATACTTCTAAGAACAATGTTCTCTGAAAGGGGAGCAAATGCAGATACAGTTGAAGCGTGCTGTGTTGTAAACCTTAGGAAAAAAATGGAATGAGAATTTGGATGTCAATTTATACACACAATGTGTTTGTTTCTAATCAAAACAAAACTCCTTCTCTGAGAGAAAATGGATGGTGAAATAATGCTTATTGCCCTACAAGTGCTGAAGTTATGCAGCCAGCTTGTGGGGGCATTCAGAGACAGTTGGCAAGATAAGATGCTTCAGGAGAGATGTAGAATTCAGCGTACAGTTTCTGTGAGGGAATGCAAGATGGCAGCAGCTCAGGGCATGAATGTAAAGGCCATATAAGGGAAGTAAATGAACTGCTGTAGAGATGCCATTAGCCAAGCAAACACTGACTTGGGGACCTTGGTGTATACCATGGAAGGTATAAATTGCATAAAGAAATGCATACTGGTTTGCTTCTCCCTAGGTTTATAAAGCCAGTTTTAACCGAGCCACTGTTCACATGTGTGAAGCAAAGTTTTTCCACAATTTTAACGCCAAGCAATTTCTACTCATGTCTAATCCCAACACATGCCTAATTTAGACACATTTATCAAAATTCCATTATAAGCAAGGCCCCTGGCCAAGGAAAGAATGTCAGACTGGGTCTTTAAATAATTGTGGGGTTAATAACAGTACTTGATTTTTCTCCTTCTTTACACCAATAGCACAGCTCAAGTGACACAGGGAGTTTAGTATCCCTGCCATTTCAGGCCCTGGTACAATGAAGAGCAGGAGGTAAAACACCTGACTGAGCTAGGTGAAGGCATGCAAGCAGTAAATGAAGTGTCTATACTCATGGAACACTGCACAGCTCCCTGCCAAAGAAAAGACCTGAGAGCCAATGTGCTCTCAGAGGTGGAGGCTTGGCACCAGGCAGAAAGCTGATTTGAGGGGAGGGTGCTAGAATGGTATGCTGTGGAGCAGGCTCCAGCTCTCAGCCTTGGGAAAGTCACACCAGCTCTCTTTCTGCCCACCACGCTGTGGGCACATCCACATTCATGTTTTGGTGTGGATCAAGGGCACGCTTTTGAAGTAAATCTCCAGATCAGCCTCACCAGGCTGCAGTTCACTGAGCAGTGGTGAGTACACAAAGTGGGTGCAGAGGGCACTGAGGCAGAATTCAAGCTCCAGGACTGCATCTGACGTGTTGTGAGTGCTCATGGGGCCCTCAGTCCATAGACCCAGGTTGGAGTAAACCTGAGAAATAAAACCCTGTGGAAAAGTGTGAACATATTCAGGTCCTCAACACCAACTGATTGGATCAGACTAATCCACATTACTCACTAATACAGGTGTATACCATGAGGATATAGCCTAGAGGTAGCCAGGGTAGCATGGCTGTTTTGGGAGTATGCCTTCATTGTCTTCCTTGTGAAACACATTATTGCACATATTCTAGCACTCAGCCTATATTTAACCTAATTCTTTGATTTGAAGCACTTTTCCTTAAAGAATACGCTTGATATGTCGGTATGGAAAACTCGATCTTGCTAGATACATTCCAATCCATTTTTTATCCCTTGAGAAAATATTCATTTTCAGTAGTGTTCTGATTTTAAGACTTTGCATTATGGGGGAAAATTGAAAGTCTTATAAAAAAAAACCCAAACCAATAAAGTGGTTAAGTAATTTAATTCTGAACATGACTGTTGTTACTATTAAATGGTGTAAACACAGGCTGAGTGCAATAAACCTCATTTCCATTTAGCATTAATAATATTAATGATCAGTACTTAAATCACGTACCATGTTCCAGCACTGAAGAAGAAACATTACAAAAGATATTTTGCATGTCTGGTGCTGACACAATTTAAACCTAGCATAAAAATGTCTTCTCTGTGAAGGAATTTATTCAAGCTGCAGGGCGGAGAAGAAAAAGCCGAATAGGAAATCTCCCTTTCTCCCAGAGGCTCTATGTGCACCATCCCTCCTCGCCCCCAGAAGGCAACCCCTCCCCAGAACTTTCCCACTGAAGACACTCTGGGAAAGGACTGGAGCTCCTGTCTCTCCGCTCGCATTAACCCAGCCGGGATGAGCTGCTGGGTGGTGTGGTCACATTCACTCCCGCTGTAGTCTACCAGGCTCCCGAACTGTTGCTATCAAAATGCTGGATCAGCAGCTCGAATGCAGACAGACAGACACACACACACACACGCCCACCCCCATCAGGAGATTAGGCCGTATTTTCCCATGTAAGGGCTGCAGCCTTCCTCTGGCCTTCTAACACTCCTGCCCTGCCGCCTTTTTCCTCTTCTGCCCTCTGCTCCAGCAGCGGCTCCACCGTTCCCCACACCCCGCAGGCAGCCGCCGAGGTGCGGCGGGCGGAGAGGAGCCCGGCGCCGCCGCAGTGCTTCCCGCCCCCAGACCGAGCGGCCCCGGCCCGGCTCGGAGAGCCGTGACCCACCGCTCCGGCCCCCGAGAACCGAGACCCACAGCCCAGCCCCTGCCGGGCTCGGAGAGCCGTGACCCACCGCTCCGGCCCCCGAGACCCACCGCCCCAGCCCCGGCCGGGCTCGGGAAGCAGGGACCCCCACCCCGCTCCGACCCCTCGGAGCAGTGACCTTCACCCGGCCCCGGGAGGGCTCAGGGGAACCCCATTCTTCGCCGTGGTGTGTCCGCTGCTTCCGTCGCCCGGCCGCTAGTCCCCGGCCCCGTCCGCGGCCCCTCAACAGCGCCGTCCGCGGCAGGTCCCGCCCGGGGAGGCGGCGGTGGGGAAAGGGGGAGGAGAGGCGGCGGAGTGCATTGCCTCCCGAGGAATCAAAAGGAGGGAGAGGAACGTGCGGAGGAGGGGAAGACGGGCCGGGCCGGCCTGGGCTGGGGAGGGTCTCCGTCCCGCCCGCCTCGGAGCGCCCGCGTCGCCTTCGCGCCGGGAGAGTCGCTTGGGGCAGCCGCCACCCGCCGGCCCCACGCCCCGGCTCCGCGCCCATGTGCTCCTGGCAGCCGCGACGGGCAAACCTCGCGCACGGCGTGTCAGTAAGTAGCCCTTCGCCACCCCGGCACCTTCCCGGACCCGTGCGGCACTCCCGTCACCGAACCTCTCCTGCTCCTCCCGGACCCCTGAACCCTCTTCCTGTCACGGAGTCCTGACCTACCGCACTCCCTGCGCGCTGCATCTCCTACATGACTCCGGTTCCCTGATCCCGCAGAACCTCCTTTCCTTCCCGACCCGTGATCACCCTGCGCGGCCACATCTTCTGCAGTCCTTGACCCCCTGCCCCTCCCGGATCCTTCTTCCCCGCATCCCTTGTCCGTTCCACTGGACCCTCCAGACTCCCTTTTCCTCCCGTATCCCCAGTCCTCTTATCCCCTTGCCTTCCCGCATCGTACCCCTCCCGGGCCCCCTTTCTTCCCGGATCTCCCTGCCACCCGGACCGCTTTCCCTTCCCGGCCCCTCTGTCTTCCCGGCTCTACGTCCTCCTGGCCCCCCTGGCCCCCTGCCCTCCCGGCACCTCTGCTTCCCAGCCCTTCCCCGCCCTCATCTCTCTTTCTCTCCCGGACCCCCTTCCCCTCCCAGCCTGCTCCTCCCGAACCCCCAGTTCCCCCAGTTGCTTCCCTGTCCCCCCCCCCCGGCGCCCCCCCGCATCCCCTGCCCCCTCATCTCCTGCACTTCCGCTCCCCTTCGCACCCTCCCGGTCCCGCGGGCACGACGCCCGCTCGCCCCGCAGCCTTCCCCTCGCATCACCCCAGCGAGTTTTGGTTCCCGGCCGCCGCCTTCCCTCAGGGGGAGCCGGATATCTCCGCCGCCCCCTCCTACCCCTGGAGGGCCGGGAGCGGGGTTTCGGGACCGGAGGGTAGAGCCCACCTTCCCGCAAAACGCCCGGCTGCGGGATGGCAGCCTCCGGGAGGCAGAGCTGCTGCCCCTCCGCACTCAGCGGGTTGCGCAGTCCTACCCCTGGAGCCTTCATGTTGTGCCTTATTTCCAGCCGTACCTCCTCCCCTGATTTAGGGAATGATCTTCCCCAAGTGCCGTGACCCACTTTGCCTTAGACATGTGGTCCCACGCCAAGACACAGGCAGATTCTTCTCAAGAAGGTGTCTCTGGAAGGATGGAAGCACCCTATGCCCCTCTCTCAAGTTTTTGTCCCCAGGGTTTTGGTGTTTTGCAGGTTGAAAGGCATTTCTGTAAATAGGTGTATACTTCTTGAGTAGCAGCATAGGCCTTTTTTAACATTATAGTCTTTCTTAGTTTTTAAAAGTAAACAAAACTTTTGTGTGGTGCACATGCTTAATTTCACTTACAGACTCCTTCTCTACATTTCCTCCTTGTGCTGAAGTAGTATTGTTTTTATTGCCTGTACATGAATTGAATTCACTGATTGGTGTCTAATCACGCTTAGAAGAAAAAGCCCCTGTATAAATAGCTATCGGAATTAATTTGGCAGCAACTGTGAGAAATGATCATAAATTTACAAATACAGTTGGAGTAATGATCCAGCGTGGATTTAACAAGAGAAACACCCCCAACCTCTGGGAAGTAGCACGTGGGTTTCTGTGGCAGTCAAACACACTTAGTCACACTGGTACTGAGCTTAGAGGCTGGGAGTTGTCTGAGGAGGAAGCAGAGAGGTTAAGGCTCCTGGATTTGAGCAGGAAGAGGCAAAGAAGCAAAGGAGCTGGGCTGAGTGTGAACAGGACTATTTTGAGAGACCCTTCTGTTCTGATCATGTGCTGTTTGAGGGTGTGTGGGGGCGAATCCAAAAGATGTGGTGGTGTCTTCACCTGCCAGTTTGGGCTCCTGGCACTTCTGGACATCAAGTGATAAAAGGCTCCTTTTTGCACTTAAGATGCAAGCAACGTAAGGGAATGCTGGAAAAATGTCACCTCATAAGACTTTGCTTGGGGTGTGTTGATGAGGTTTACCTCAGCCACAAAGGTCTGATCTTGAAAAGCCTTAGGCACTGCAAGCAGTTTTGCACTGAAGCTGTGGGGACAGGTATAATGGGAAGCACGTTCCCCAGGCATCGCAAGGGGAAGGCCTGATAGCTAAGGATAAATGAGACCTCGCCTTTTTTCTTTATCCGTATGAAAAGGATCAAGATGTACAGTGAACAGTGAGTAGGCAAGTACACAGGGAGCCCCTGAAGGTGGCTGCAGAGCGTTCCTGGATGCACACAGCAGCCTGTGCAAGCCAGGCTGCTTCCCACCACTGTCCCACCGACCCAGCAGCTGGTATCACTGACATCAATACTAGCTGCTGCCTGCAAGGATGGGGCAGTAAATGAAATGTCTTAATGAAAAGTCATGTGGGAAGGAAAAGCACTCTGGCAGGTAAACAATTTTTTTCTCTAATGTATTACTGAACTTGCATTTTTCTCCTTTTTTTTTTATGTTATTTAATTATAGGGACCTTTGACTTCATGATGGGAGGAAACATCCCCCTGGCTGTAAGGATCCGAGCTTCTCCCAGCGCGAGGATTTGTCAAGGCTGAGAGACTTCGGATTATCCATAAACAGCTCTAAAACACACAGCTGCTTTTCTGTCTCCCCATCACGAGGGGTCTTGGAGGAAATACAGAGATGGCCTCCAGCCTCACCTGTGCCGGTGTTGTCTGGGCCTTCCTCTCCTTCCTCTGTGCCGCTGCCTCCTGCGTGGGTTTCTTCATGCCCTACTGGCTCCTGGGGTCTCAGCTGGAGAAATCGGTTTCGTTCGGCACTTTCCGGAGGTGTTCCTACCCAGTGCGGGATGAGAGCCGCCAGACAACCGTGATGGTGGAGCAGTGCGGCCGCTATGCCTCCTTCCAGGCCATCCCGAGTGCCGAGTGGAGGATCTGCACGGTGGTGACGGGCCTGGGCTGTGGGCTGCTCCTCTTGGTGGCCCTCACAGCACTCATGGGATGCTGTGTGTCCGAGCTCATCTCCAGGACCGTGGGCAGGGTGGCAGGAGGCATCCAGTTCCTGGGGGGTAAGTGCTCATGTGGGGAGGGGATGAGGGTGTCTGAAGACTCCACTGGTGCTTGGGGACAAGGAGGGGATGAGCCAAACTTTCTGCTGGTGAGTGAGGCCACTTGGCTCCCTTGGTGGTTGAGCTGGTTGTCTGGATGTGGCCCAAAGACACAGCCACCTTTGGTCACTCTCCTGTGCTCAAGTCCGTGCCTGGTCATTGTGCAGCCTTTGAGAGTTGCATGGCAAGTTGACTTCTGTGGGCCGTCATCTTCACAGTGGTTTTGTGGGCTGTAGTTTATAGCAGAGCTCTGCCAGGATGGCAGTACCTGGAGAAGCAATGGGACTGCAGAGCTCCATGGAGCATTATGGTTTTGGAGTGGAGAGGCTGTGTTATGTGGGAACATCTTTCTCCTTCCTACCCTATCCCTGGCAGAGCTCCCTCCACCTCTGCTGTCTGCATCTGCATAGATCTGACACAAGTCCGTGGCCAGGGTTTGAGGTGGAGGATTGCTTATCCCTGGTAGGGGTGTCCCACCATCTCCCAGAAGGAGCCCTGCCAGGCTGCCTGACCCATGCTGTGCTCTGATGGTGCCACAGGTTTGTTGAGTCCATGAGCGTGAGAGAATTGCCTCCTCTCCTTTTTTTAGCTTGTAATTGTACAGAGTATTTGTAACTGTGAAGTGTTTGAAGAGTATGAAACAATAAACAGGATCCTCGAGTGTGTTTTCTATAGGGCAGTTTTCCCAGTAAATCATCACTCTCTTGTCATTGGTGACATGCGGCTCGCTGGCACTCACTTTTGCCTGGTGCAAGTGCTCCACCACCCCTGTGTGCTTGCTCCCATAAAGGGATGTGTTCCCTTGAGCTTTGGGTGCAGGTGCCAGTGTTCTGGGTGCCCTGCAGTGTCTCTTCCCAGCTAGGGACCCTGGCTCATGCCCTGCAGGAGCAGGCTACAGAGGGACCGAACAGAAACTTGCCCACAAGGGCAGTGTGGATACATCCCAAGTCTGCAGCCCCGAGGAAGCACAGGACAAAAACTCTGCTACTGTCCCGCTCAGGGCAGACAAATGAGGCAAGGAAAGGGCCCTGTGCCAAGCCTCCAGACAATGCCAGCACAGTTCACTCCTGGCCATGGGCAGCTCTGCCTCCAACTTTTTGAGTAGTTTCTGCACTTCAGAGCAAGCCAACCCTATCATTTCACCCTTCCCTCAGCTTTGCAATACACAGGCCTTCCTGTGTTTAATCTGTCTGACAATTAGAAGGTGCAACAGCTGCTGGAGAGTTAACTGCTGAGAGCTACAGCTTCTTGAAGCCTGCCCCATTATAGGATCCAGGCAGGCATCCAGGGGATGGAGGGGATTTTCTGTTTGGTGACACTCTGCAAGCCCACTTGGTCTAGCTATTTTCACTCAGAGCCATCACAGGCTTGTGCTATAACCACCCCCCTCTTTCCAGCTGCTGGCTTGGCTCATCTGGTTTAGAGTTTAGCTCTTTTCTCTCTGGGGGCAGTGCTCTCCTGCCTGCCCATGGAGCGGGACCGCCCAATCCTGTGTCTGCTGACGGCCGTCCCAGCAAACATGGCAGCTCCATCGGTGAGCGGCTGGCTGGGGGACATGGGAGGAACCCCGCTCCCCATGACATGGTGTAGGCTGGATGCATGCACCATTCTCTGAGGCGGGATGGTGGCTGCTGTGCAAGGAGGTTAGAGGTCCCTTCAGACTGTACTATGCGTTCCCAGAGCTTGTTCCCAGCTGACCAGGCAGCATTCCATCCCGCCTGGAGGGGCATGAACAGGCAGTGCTTGTCCTCTGTAGGTGACATATCAAAGAAATGTGAACTTGTGATATGAAAATTGCCAACAACTTTGCATGTCTGATTTTCTCCTCTACTGCCTTTTATGGTTGTCTCTCATTTCACTCAGCACTGCTGGAAGTGTGTATGAAACGAACCAAGTGAGAACCTTTCCGTTCTTAACCTGCTTAAAAAACAGCTGTGGGGACATGAGGGAGAGGCCAGGTGGTGAAGGCCAGTAACTTGGATGAACTGAAGGGACATATTAGGGTAAAGATCAGATCCTTACATCCTTGATCAGATCCTTAGCTGCTATAAATAAGTATAGTATCACTGTTTAAGTGATGTGACTACATTTATTCAGATGTCTAACACACACTATAATTATTAGGTTGTTTTATGTCAAGATAGCCACAAGCTGTTCACTTTATTTACTACCCAGGAATGCCAGCTCTTTGTTCCCTGTACTACAGCTGTAGGTTTACTTATATACCACAGCGTGTGCTTTGAATACGTCTCAGTGGCAGTACAGTGACTAATTCTGATTGGTCTCCACTTGGAGATCTAACCAAATATAACTATCACATATATATATATATATATATATATATATATATATATATATATGCATTTTGATGGGGGGGGAGAACCCTGTCCTATCTTTATATGAAGAAAAAACCCTGGGGTAATAAGCAGCCCACTGAGTGATGCTATTTTGTGTTAGGGCAAGGAGACGGCTAGGCAGTTTCACTTTCTTTCTGTCTGAGTCACCTGTACCAAGACCCTGCTCCTGTTCTAGTGGTGGAGGGTGAGCACTGAAATAAACTATATTTCTCTTGAAGTTAAAAACCAGCATAAAGACATGCTCAGGGTAGCTAGTTTATGGCTTTAGTAGTGTTTCATGAGTCCAGGATCCAAGTAATTTTCTCAGCATGATTTAAAAACACGGACTTGGTGAAGACCTAAGCCAATTGACAGTAGAGTGTTGTGAGAAGCCCATGAGTGGGTGAGATTTGCAAGCCTCTGAAGCTGTGGTGAGCCAAAGCACTAAGGCTGCTAAAACTAACTTCCACAATGGAAGCATTTTTACTGCTGGGAAGAGGTGGCAGAGAGGTTTGCTTACCAGAGGTGGTAAGCAAGCAGCCTGATCCTTTCCTTCTAGCAGTATGAAGGAGTAGTAACTCCAGGTAGGTCAGTGGAATAACACCTGTATAAAGGCAGTGCAGCCCGCACTACAGAAACGGTGCCAAGGTTTTACAGCTGGGATTTCCCCGAGTTGTATGTGGAAGCTCATGGGAGTGAATTATTCATGCATGCTTATACCATAAATCTGCTCTTATCGTAAAAATTGGATGGCAGAACTTGCAAGAATTGCAGCTCCATGCAGAGTCAGAACGGCTCTTTAGATATCGTTTGATCTTACACACTTAGTTTGTATTTGCTATTTCAGATAATCCTGGCTACAGAGCATGCATGTATTTTAAGATGATTTGGGGATGATACACGCTGAGTTTCTGTTCCTACCAGGAAGATTGCATCATAGACTTTTCCTCCCATTTGCAATTATGGGAACCGCTTCCTTTCCCATGCATGGTCATGTGGCAGCTCTGTAGTCATTACAGCAATTGCTTAGATGAAAAACAATGCTAATTTTAGCTTTTTCTAACACAGTTTGGTGGTGGGCAACAAGAAGTAGGCAACGCCCCAAAGCCAGCCATTTCTGCAGTGGCTGTCAGTGGTCTGCAGTCCATTGGCTGGCAAACTGCTGCTTCTCAGAACATGTTTCACGGACATCTCTGTTGGATTGCTTCAAAGAACTGACAACTGAGATGAAAGTCATGCTGTCTGTAACCTCTTGAGGGCACAGTTATGTAGATGGATACAGTCTTCACTGATAGCAATAAGTGCAGTGTTTCCAGCTGGTTTCCTTTGAATGTTTGGAGGACTGAGGCATATATAATGTGTCTAGAACAGATTACAAGGATGTATCTTTGTCCATAACTATTGAGGCCATGACAGCAGGAAGTGAAGTTTAACAAATCTATTGCAAATTGGAGCCTGTAATTACTGATTCATTGTGCTCTGGCAAGTCAATTGCACTCAAATGGGGAGACTAGAAATTTGCAGGTAGATAGCTCAGATACGACATACTAATTTGGTGAATAGTTTTGCTCTCTGAATGCAGAGCAATGATTTTAAGAACATAGCAATAATTTTAAGAACATAATGAACTTAAAGCTTATCCAGTTTTATGAGAAGCAGTAGATCAAAAGACACAAGTACTGCAAAGATGGTCAATTTAAGGAGCGTTATGCTGGCAAGGTGAAGCTTTTCATTAATATGGTCAGCACACAGGAATTACAGATGCTAGCTGCTAGCTCAGAACTCCCTTTGGCTGCATAGAACAGCTAATCCAAGCTCATAGGGGTATGAATCCAAAGGAACACAGCATGTAATGACCTGCTGACTTAGGCACCTCTCCGAACCTCACACTTTGGCCCTGATTCTGAGTGGCATGTGAGAAGTGAGCCCTCTCCGTGATTACTGGGTAGCCATGGGGTTTGTATACTGTCAGCTTCAGTACTGATCCCTCATTGATTTTACTCAAGTAAAGCACAAGTTTTGCTACTCCCTTCGGTAAATGAGCAAAATACTCAGCAGTGCCTTCTCTTCCTCTCATTATTTTGTTTCCCTCATGTCTCATGGGAGTACTGCAACTCCTGAAACTATGGTTGAATTGCTGGGTGGAAAATCTGTGGAGCTCTTGTAGTAGGGGGTGATGAAAAGAGCATTTGGTTATTTGAGGAAAAGGGGACACAGATCCCAACTACTTCTGATTTTGTTTCAGGAAAGAAAAAAAAAGTGGCTTTCTGGAAAAAGCTCTTAGCACCACAGGAAATCACTGCAGAATCCTTCTCCAAATCTCCTATCCCCATAGTGGCCGTAATTGTTTCCATCTCCCATAGGGTGCTCAGGACAAGTGTATGCTGGGTGAAGAGGGCAGGGGAATAAGAAGCGCTCCATTAAGATAAGGAGAATGTCTAGTGTGGGGTGTTGGCTTTGTGTTGTCAGTGATAAAATCTTAAAGAAAGCCTTTGAGATTTTGGGCTGGAGGTTTTAAAAAGACAGATACAAGGGAGATCTGCAGGTTATTAACACACTAATAGCTGAATGTGACTCTAGGTTGAAGTCTAAAATGTAGAGGGCAGAGAAGGGAAGAGCACCAAG